AGATTTTGGAAATGTTAATATATTTTGTACTGCATCTCCAAAAATCCTCCAACCAGCATGCCCAGGACTTCCTGAGAAAGTATATTTTCCAAGTTTTGAGCAGACTCTTCTATATGTTCTTCAAGAGTATGGAAGGAACTAGCGGAAGTCATTTCGGAACCATTGGCAACCATCTTTGAGAGTTCTTGGAGAACGGGAGAAGTTCCAGCAGATTGGAGGAGGGCCAATGTGGTCCCAATCTTCAAAAAGGGAAAAAAGAATGACCCAAACAATTGCCGTCCGGTCAGCCTCACATCGATACCAGGCAAGGTTCTGGAAAAGATAGTTAAGGAAGTGGTCTGAAAACACTTACAAACAAATGCGGTCATAGCTAATAGTCAACATGGATTTATCAGAAACAAGTCATGCCAGACTAATCTGATCTCTTTTTTCGATAGAGTTACAAGCTGGGTAGATGCGGGGAATGCCGTGGATGTAGCGTACCTGGATTTCAGTAAGGCCTTCGACAAGGTCCTCCATGACCTTCTGGCAAGGAAACTAGTCCAATGTGGGCTAGGCAAAACTATGGTGAGGTGGATCTGTAATTGGTTAAATGGACGAACCCAGAGGGTGCTCACCAATGCTTCCTCTTCATCCTGGAAAGAAGTGACGAGCGGAGTGCCGCAGGGTTCCGTCCTGGGCCCGGTCCTGTTCAACATCTTTATTAATGACTTAGATGAAGGGCTAGAAGGCATGATCATCAAGTTTGCAGACGACACCAAATTGGGAGGGATAGCCAATAGTCCAGAGGACAGGAGCAGAATTCAAAACGATAGACAGATTAGAGAGATGGGCCAAAACTAACAAAATGAAGTTCAACAGTGACAAATGCAAGATACTCCACTTTGGCAGAAAAAACGAAATGCAAAGATACAGAATGGGGGACAATGCCTCGCTCGAGAGCAGTACGTGTGAAAAAGATCTTGGAGTCCTTGTGGACAACAAGTTAAACATGAGCCAACAATGTGATGTGGCGGCAAAAAAACCAATGGGATTTTGGCCTGCATCAATAGGAGCATAGTGTCTAGATCTAGGGAAGTAATGCTACCCCTCTATTCTGTTTTGGTTAGACCACATCTGGAATATTGTGTCCAATTCTGGGCACCACAATTCAAGTGAGATATTGACAAGCTGGAATGTGTCCAGAGGAGGGCGACTAAAATGATCAAGGGTCTGGGGAACAAGCCCTATGAGGAGCGGCTTAAGGAGCTGGGCATGTTTAGCCTGAAGAAGAGAAGGCTGAGAGGAGATATGATAGCCATGTATAAATATGTGAGAGGAAGCCACAGGGAGGAGGGAGCAAGCTTGTTTTCTGCTTCCCTGGAGACTAGGACGCGGAACAATGGCTTCAAACTACAAAAGAGGAGATTCCATCTGAACATGAGGAAGAACTTCCTGACTGTGAGAGCCGTTCAGCAGTGGAACTCTCTGCCCTGGAGTGTGGTGGAGGCTCCTTCTTTGGAAGCTTTTAAACAGAGGCTGGATGGCCATCTGTCAGGGGTGATTTGAAGCAAGGGAGTTGGCAGGGACCAACAAACCAAACATCTAATGAAACAGATATTAAGACCCTGGTATGGGACCGCGGCATGGAGGGGGGGAGGTGTTCCACTAGCCGAGGGGCCCCCATAGAGGTCGTGGTGGGAAGGAGGAGATGCGGAAAAAGGAGACCTCGAATTCGGCCTAATTCGGACCGCTTATCAAAATTAGTAATCCCAAATCGGTCTCCTAAGGTAAATTGGTGTAACCAGGTGAGCGGGCCCTCTGGATTGAAGGTGGTGCTGCTGAACGCCAGATCTGTCAACGGAAAAATGACCTTTATCCAGGATTTAATCCTGGATGAGCGGGCAGATCTGGCGTGCATTACGGAGACCTGGTTGGATGAAGCTGGGGGGGGGAATCTGACCCAGCTTTGTCCCCCAGGGTTCTCCGTACAGCACCAACCGAGATCCGGAGGACGGGGAGGCGGGGTTGCAGTGGTCTATAGAGATTCCATCCATCTGACCAGGAGCCCCATCCCGCAGACCACAAATTTTGAATGTGTCCACCTGAGGGTGGGTGACCGGGACAGAATAGGGATTCTGCTAGTGTACCGTCCACCTCGCTGCACTACAGTCTCCCTACCTGAGCTAGCGGGGGTAGTCTCGGGCCTGGCGTTGGAGTCTCAACGGCTTTTGGTGCTGGGGGACTTCAATATCCATGCCGAGGCGACCCTCACAGGAGCGGCTCAGGACTTCATGTCTGCCATGGCAACCATGGGGCTGTCCCAACAAATATCTGGCCCCACCCACTGTGCTGGACACACATTGGACTTGGTTTTCTGCCAGGGATGGGAGCAGGGTGGCGGTGTGGAGGAGTTGTCTATCTCTCCGTTGCCATGGACTGACCACTTCCTGAGCAGATTTAGGCTCACTGCAACCCCTAACCTCCGCAAAGGTGGAGGACCCATTAAGATGGTCCGCCCCAGGAGGCTTATGGATCCGAATGGATTCCTGACGGCTCTTGGGGATTTTCCCGCCTCCTCGGTAGGTGACCATGTCGAGGCCTTGGTCGCTCTCTGGAATGGGGAGATGGCCAGGGCAATTGACGTGATCGCTCCGGAACGTCCCCTCTCAAGTAGCCGAGCTAAACCAGCTCCTTGGTTCACTGAGGAGCTGGCAGTGATGAAGCGAAGGAAGAGGGAACTAGAGAGCGTGTGGCGTTCGGACCCAAGCGAGTCAAATCGAGCACGGTTTGTGTCCTTTTTAAGGGCATATGCCGCGGCAATAAAAGCCGCAAAGAAAACTTTCTTTGCGGCCTATTGCGTCTGCAAAGAACCGTCCGGCGGAGTTGTTTCGGATTGTCAGAGGTCTTTTAACTCCCGCCACTTCAGGCGGGAGCCCTGACAATTCGGTCACGCGCTGTGAAGCATTTGCTCGGTTCTTTGCAGACAAAGTCGCTTTGATCCGTTCTGAGCTGGACACCATGTTAAATGCAGTCTCTGGGGATGTGACACGAGCACCTGCTTGTCCTATTTTGTTGGATTCTTTTCAGTTTGTGAAACCCGAGGATGTGGACAAGATACTTGGAGGAATGAGGCCCACCACGTCCATCCTAGACCCCTGCCCATCCTGGCTTCTGAAGGAGGCCAGAGGGGGATTGGCTGAGTGGGTAACGGTGGTGGTTAATGCCTCCCTTCGGGAAGGCAAGATTCCAGCGTGCTTAAAACAAGCAGTTATAAAACCGCTGTTGAAGAAACCATCATTGGACCCCACTAAATTCGACAACTTCCGGCCTGTTTCCAATCTCCCCTTTTTGGGCAAAGTCATGGAAAGCGTGGTGGCCTCACAACTCCAGGTATTCTTGAGAGACACGGATATTCTGGATCCGGCACAGTCTGGTTTCAGACCGGGACATGGTACTGAGACGGTCTTGGTCGCCTTAGTGGATGATCTGCGCCGGGAGCTAGACAGGGGGAGTGTGTCCCTGTTGGTGCTCCTGGACCTCTCAGCGGCCTTCGATACCGTCGACCACGGTATCCTTCTGGAGCGCCTTGCGGAAATGGGTCTTGGGGGCATTGCTCTGCAGTGGCTCCAGTCATTTCTGGAGGGTCGTACCCAGAAGGTGTTATTGGGGGACTGCTGTTCAACACCACAGCCTTTGACCTGTGGGGTTCCACAGGGTTCTATATTGTCCCCCATGCTGTTTAATATCTACATGAAGCCGCTGGGTGAGATCATCCGGAGTTTCGGGGTGCGGTGTCATCTGTACGCAGATGATGTCCAACTCTGTCACTCCTTTCCACCTGCTACTAAGGGGGCTGTCGAGGTCCTGAACCGGTGCCTGGCCGCTGTAATGGTCTGGATGAGGGCGAACAAACTGAAATTAAATCCAGACAAGACAGAGGTACTCCTGGTCAGTCGCAAGGCCGAACAGGGTATAGGGTTACAGCCTGTGCTGGACGGGGTCGCACTCCCCTTGAAGGCGCACGTTCGCAGCTTGGGTGTGACCCTGGATTCATCTTTGCCTGGCACCCCAGGTTTCAGCGGTGACCAGGGGAGCATTTGCACAGCTTCGGCTCGTGCGCCAGCTGCGCCCGTATCTTGGGAAGTCTGACTTGGCCACGGTGGTACACGCTCTGGTCACATCCCGCCTTGACTACTGCAACGCTCTCTACGTGGGGCTGCCCTTGAAGACGGCCCGGAAGCTTCAGCTAGTCCAGCGCGCGGCAGCCACGTTACTAACAGGAGCGGGACGCAGGGAATCAGAAGGTTGTCCAGCTCCACTGGCTGCCGAACTGCTACCGGGCCCAATTCAAGGTGCTGGTGTTCCTACAAAGCCCTAAACGGTTCCGGCCCAAAATACCTTTCGGACCGCATCTCGGCCTATGAGCCCACGAGGGCCTTGAGATCGTCTGGGGAGGCCCGTCTCTCGATCCCGCCTGCCTCACAGGCACGTCTGGCGGGGAGAGAGAGGGCCTTCTCAGTGGTGGCCCCCCGGCTGTGGAACACCCTCCCTGTTGACATCAGACAGGCGCCCTCCCTTATGGCTTTCCGCAAGAGCTTAAAGACCTGGCTATTCGAGAAGGCATTCAATTGAGAGCTACACGAATCTGGTAATGACAACAGGAACGGATTATGGTTTATGAGATTGGATATGATTCTATGCTTTGACGGTGCGGATTTGTTAATGTGATTTAGATTAATGTGTAATATGGTTGTGTTGATATATTGTGTGCTTTTGTAAATTGTTTTTATATGTTGTACACCGCCGCGAGTCGCCCCGGGGCTGAGAGCGGCGGTCAACAAATGCAGAATAAATAAATAAATAAATAAATAAATAAATAAATATTCCTGCTTCTTGGCAGGGGGTTGGACTGGATGGCCCATGAGGTCTCTTCCAACTCTTTGATTCTATGATTCTGTGCTCTTTAAGATTCTCTCTGTGTCCAATTCCAAGGTGAAAGTGAAGGGAAACCAGACAGATCCAGGTTAACAAACAGCTTTATTGGTCATTTTACAAAATGATTCATGAGCAACCAAAGAACACCCCAGTGTCCCCTGCCTTGAAGCTGAGCACCTGGGCAATATCTGAGCATGTGCTTAGTATGTTGGAGGCTGCTCCTCAATGCCCATCCTGAGCTAGGTGACCAAAGGCAAACTCCCTTCCCAACCACTTTCTCCAATCCCACCCTCCTCCCACTGGGCACGGGCTCTTCAGTTGCAGTAATGCCAAAGAAACAAAACAAAACAAAACAAACAATCCTCCGTAGGCCTTGAGTGGCCCTTGGCCGGAGCATCCCTTTGTCCTGATTTATAAATACAGCTATCCATGGCTTTCAAAGACTGCTGACAGCCAGGGAACAAACTTATATACAAGGGCCTGGACTGCATGGAAGGTCATAAATTAGAAGCATGGGACTTCGATCCCACCCCAGCCCAAAGTCCACAGATGGCCATTTCGTAAGCTCTCATGCCAACTCCATTTCGTTTCATCTTTTTTCCTGAAAGGACAAAGGGGACAACACATCAGAAAGTCTGGCTCTACTTTTAATCCACCTGCCAGTTTTTAGACAACAGTAAACAAATAAATAAGCATGGACGCTGGTTCATTGTCCAGTTCAATTTCTCTGCTTAACTCTGTATATATATTTTTCCTAGTTTTAGTGACCTGAATTTATTGTCAAAGGCTTTCATGGCTGGAATCACTGGGCTGTTGAGAGTTTTTCACTATGGGCTCGGTCTCACGTAAGCCGCACCGAATCCCTTGGGGAGATGGTAGCGGGGTGTAAATAAAGTTTTATTATTATCATTTATTTTTCCAGAAGCATTCTCTCCTGACGTTTTGCCTGCATCTATGCCAGGCATCCTCAGAGGTTGTGAGGTCTGTTGGAAACTAGGAAAATGGGGTTTATATATCTGTGGGATGACCAGGGTGGGACAAAAAACTCTTGCCTTTTGAGGTAGGTGTGAATGTTGCTCCCAACAAAGGATTCCTCCAGGCAATAAGAAGCCAGATCTTGAAACTGCTAGGCCATCAAAAGCCCGTTCTGTTTGACTTTCTATTATGTTACATTGCATTGCTTATTTTATCTTGTTACATTATGTATTTTATGTTCCAGTGTGCCTTCCCAGAATAGGAAACTCCTGGCTTCAAGTCCCAAACGCACTTTGTTAGAGATTCAGGATTATCTGCACATTGCACCTACCTCCAAATACCTCTAGATTTTACCTGTCAGGTTCAGCACTTTTAATTTTTGTCCATTACATTTGGCCCGGCCCCTAGGTTTTTAATTGCATCATGGTGTTATTGTTTTACTGTTTTATTGTTTTGATTGATGTTTTATTATTTGCTTATGAGTTTTACTGTGTATTGTATGTTGTTGTTGGCGGCCTCGGCCTTTGTAAGCCGCATCGAGTCCTTCGGGAGATTTTGCGGGGTATAAATAAAGATAATAATAATAATAATAATAATAATAATAATAATAATAATAATAATCTTTTGTTAGGTTCTTGTGGGTTTTTTCGGGCTATGGAGCCATGTTCTAGAGGCATTTCTCCTGACGTTTCGCTTGCATCTATGGCAAGCATCCTCAGAGGTAGTGAGGTCTGTTGGAATTAGGACAATGGGTTTATATATCTGTGGAATGGCTGGGGAATGTCAGACTACACAGAGAAGCCATTGAAATCCACAAGCATGTGGACAATTTCAACAGAAAGGAAGAGACCATGAAAATGAACAAAATCGCTACCAGTATTAAAAAACTCTAAAATTACAACAGCAAAACAGCAGAGAGGAAACAACCAGGCACATCTTAACACCTCTCAACAAAGATTTTCCCAGGCTCAGCCAGGCCTTCAAATGCTAATGAAGGTGGTCAGTTGAAACATTCACACCTAGCTCCAGCAGAGAAAAGTTCTTTGCCCCACCCCAGCCATTCCACAGATATATAAACCCATTGTCCTAATTCCAACAGACCTCACTACCTCTGAGGATGCTTGCCATAGATGCAGGCGAAACGTCAGGAGAAATGCCTCTAGAACATGGCTCTATAGCCCGAAAAAACCCACAAGAACCTAGTGATTCCAGCCATGAAAGCCTTCGACAATCTTTTGTTGTTTTGTATTTTATTTTGCTGTGTTGTATTTTTTGGCTTGGCCTCATGTGAGCCGCCCCGAGTCCCCTTTGGGGAGACAGTGGCGGCGTATAAAGATTATTATTATTATTATTATTATTATTATTATTATTATTTTACTGAAACAAAAGCACAGTATGTCACAGCAAACGAGATCTATATGCTGGATTTCGTATCACAAAATAACAAGTCGAACACTTCCCAAGCGTCAAGGACTGTGTGATGTATTGTTGTTGTTGTTGTTGTTGTTGTTGTTATTATTATTATTATTATTATTATTATTATTATTATTATTATTCAAGGCGGCCAATTGCAACATTCACACCTACCTCAAACAGCGTTCTTTCTCCCACCCAGGACATTCCACAGATATAGAAACCCCATTTTCATAGTTTCCAACAGACCTCACAAGCTCTGAGGATGCCTGCCATAGATGCAGGCGAAACGTCAGGAGAGAATGCTTCTGGAATATGGCCATACAAACCAGAAAACTCACAACAACCCAGTCGCTTGAATTGATTACTGCCTCTCAGAGGCACACTGTTGTGATATGACAATGTTTGACACAATGGCCCCCAATTAAAATTACCCCCTTCCCTGATCTTCTCTTCATAGCAATAGATTTTATGAGTAATGCAATTCATGTGGTTTTTGCCTGCATGCAGTTCTGAAAATATTTGCTTCATAGTGAACAGGCACTATGGGACAGCAATTGGATTAGGCAACTAGCACAACCAAAAATATTAATTCCCCACCCCCTGAACCTTGGTCCTGGGCCAAATCAAGGCCTCCAGTGATGGCCCTTAGAGCCTGGAAAAAGAGGGCTGAGGGATATTTTGGCCCACAGCTTCCAGGATTCCAGCACAGTGAAAGTCTACAGCCCACAATATCTGAAGGGTCAAGATTTCCCTGTTGTTGCACTGGAGCATTTTGTGTGCTATTTCCAGGCACATGTTGATGCATCTCCTAGAGCTAGCATCCCTCTGTCTCTCTGTGCCAAGAGCAAGAATTAAGAACGAACATAGGAAGGGCTACAGCATCACCTCACTGCGTTCGCCTGTTGTCCGGCTGCGCCCTGACCCGTGACCTCGAGATGCCGTTGACCCCCTGGAAGAAGAACTTCCTGTTGTGGAGCAATTGCTCGACATCTGGCTTCTGGAGAGAAAGCTGGGCTTGCTGTATGGGATGATTTCCTCCTCTACTAGGAGAGAAAAAAACACACACACAAAAGAATAACAAGAAACAGGCTGTGGTTTCACCCATGCTGTGCTGTCATTTCGTATTCAGAGCAGCTGCCTGTGTGTTAATGGGTGGAAGCCCAGGCAGGTTAAGTCATCTATCATCATTGATCATCATCTAGAGACACCAAGGAATAATTATAGGTGTTTATCTAGGCAGAAATGCAATCGAGAGTGTTGGGAGTCCTTGGAACGCATTACAAGGAACTGAGCGCAGAGGGTCTACTGCTTATCTATGTCAACAATAGTTTTCCACTGAGGCTATGTGGACATTGGGGATTTGAGATGGTGACAGAGGAATCCTAATCCCCAACCTTTAGTAGTTATGGGATCCGCTAGCACAGTGTTTCTCAACCTGGGGGGTCGCAAGGGGGTGTCAGAAGGGTCGCCAAAGACCATCAGAAACCACAGTATATTCTGTTCGTCATGGGGGTTCTGTGTGGGAAGTTTGGCTGAATTGTATCATTAGTGGGCTTCAGAATGCTCTTTGATTGCAGGTGAACTATAAATTACAGCAACTACAACTCCCAAATGTCAAGGTCTATTTTCCCAAAACTCCACCTGTGTTCACATTTGGGCATATTGAGTATTGAGCTTCAGAATGCTCTTTGATTGCAGGTTAACTATAAATTCCAGCAACTACAACTCCCAAATGTCAAGGTGTATTTTCCACAAACTCCACCCGTGTTCACATTTGGGCATATTGAGTATTGAGCTTCAGAATGCTCTTTGATTGTAGGTGAACTATAAATTCCAGAAACTACAACTCCCAAATGTCAAGGTCTATTTTCCCCAAATTCCAACAGTGTTCATATTTGGGCAAATTGAGTATTGAGCTTTAGAATGCTCGTTGATTGCAGGTGAACTATAAATTCCAGCAATTACCACTCCCAAATRTCAAGGTCTATTTCCCCCAAACTCCACCAGAGTTCACATTTGGGCATATTGAGTATTTGGGCCAAGTTTGGTCCAGATCCATCATTATTTGGGTTCACAGTTCTCTCTGGATGTAGGCGAACTACAGCTCCCAAACTCAAGGTTGATGCCCAACAAACCCTTCCAGTATTTTCTGTTGATCATGAGAGTTCTGTGTGCCAAGTTTGGTTCAACTGCATTGTTGGTGGAGTTCAGAATGCTCTTTGAATTTAAATGAACCATAAATCCCAGCAACTACAACTCCCATCTTCCTATGTTTTTCCATCACTGTTTCCATGAAGAAAGAAAATCAATTAATGGGTAAAGAACAGCTAGCTGCTKATGCCTTCTGACTTGGAGCACTATACGTTCTTCAGTTACAGCAGCGTTTCTCAACCTGGGGGTCGGGACCCCTTGGGGGATCACGAGAGGGTTTTAGAGGGGTCACCAAAGATCATCAGAAAACATATATTTCTGATGGTCTTAGCACCCCTTTGGCAAGAAGGCTGAAGAGCTCTCCACCTGTCCTCATTAATTACTGATAGACAGTTTGGCTCACTTGCTTGAGCAACCCAACCTACCAAAAGCCCTTCTCTGTTGTGATTGGCTGGTCTCAAAGCCAAGGGGAGGTGAGAGTAGGTGTGCTTGGCGCATGGCAGTGTGGTGTGCATGTGTGGGCAAGGGAGAGCGTGTGAGGTTGGAGGGAGGCTTGCGCCAGCAAGTCCCTTCAAGGCATGGGGTTCAGAATGCTCTTTCGTTATAGGTGAACTATAAATCCCAGCAACTACAACTCCCAAATGTCAAGGTCTATTTTCCCCAAACTCCACCAGTGTTCACATTTGGGCATATTGAATATTCGTGCCACAGTTTGGTCCAGATCCATCATTACTTGAGTTCCCAGTTCTCTCTGGATGTAGGTGAACTACAGCTCCCAAACTCAAGGTCAATGCCCAACAAACCCTTCCAGTATTTTCTGTCAGTTATGAGAGTTATGTGTGCCAAGTCCGGTTCAACTGCATCATTGGTGGAGTTCAGAATGCTCTTTGAATTTAAATGAACCATAAATCCCAGCAACTAGAACTCCCAAATGACAAAATCAATCCCCTCCAATTCCACATTGGGACGTATTGGGTATTTGTGCCAAATTTGGTCCAGTGAATGAAAATACATCCTACATATCAGATATTTACATTCCGATTCACAACATTAGAAAAATTATAGTTATGAAGTCGCAACAAAAATAATGTTGTGGTTGGGGGTCACCACAACATGAAGAACTGCATTGAGGGGTCACAGCATTAGGAAGGTTGAGAACCACTGCCCTAGCAGGTTCACCATACGGAATGTTGGGTAAACTTGCTTCAGGTATAACAAACCCCCAACATGGGGAGTGATCACTGTAGCCAGTATTACCTTCTTTGTGCTGGTGGTAGTGCTGGCCTGCCATTGTGCGATGGATAACTTTCCGCTCTACAGCAAAGGAACAATTCGGGTCCTTCTCCAGGGCAGAAGGGTCACAGTCCAATCGTGAAGTGCTGTCCGGAGCAGAACTGCCAAGGTCTTCTTCAGGAGGTGGCAAGGGAGGTGGTGGAAGGTCTGCAAGCAGAACGGAGAGGGAAGAACTGTCAGTGCCTCATTCCAAAAGGCTCACAGGACTTCCTCAGGAAGTCCCCACATAATTCGCTCGGAAGAAGATTGCAACTTGCTTTGTGCTTACCTCCCTGCTTCTTCTCTCGGCGGTAGTGGCTAGACTTGGACTTCTTCTTTCCTTTTCCTTTTTCCCCTGGAGGAAGAGGCATATCCCCTAGGTTTGGATGGGGTTTCCCTGTTAGTAAAAATCCAACATTTGAATCAGAGGCTATCAGCCCGTAATTTAGCTGATTCTACCCAAATCTCAGCTCTGGTGAAGGCTAGCAGTTATTCTGGATGGATGGAGAAAAAATGTATGTATGTATGTATGTATGTATGTATGTATGTATGTATTTGCAGTATTTATATTCTGCCCTTCTCACCCCGCAGGGGACTCAGGGCGGATTACAATGTACACACATATATAGACAGACACACAGAGGCAATTTAACATTCCAGCCTTTTCATGAGGGTATTCTGGCCACCAGGGGAGTTGTTGCTTCACCGTCCATTTGTGACACTGATGAAGTACTTCCTCATTCTTTGCATGCTTGCTGGAGATTTTTATGGCCTCGTAAATTAGTTAAATTAGCCTCCCCACATAAGCGGTACCTACATTTCATAATTGAGAGATGCAACTGTCTTTTGAGCTGCAAAGATCGACAGCAAGCTACACAAAATTGGTCAGAAGCTCACTCTGACCCGGGTTGGCTTCGAACTCATGACCTTTCAGCCAGTAGTGATCAGGGTGGATTACAATGTACATATACATGGCAAACATTCAATGCCATAGACACACATATATAGACAGACACACAGAGGCAATTTAACATTCCAACCTTTTCATGAGGGTATTCTGGCCACTAGGGGAGCTGTCCCTTCACCGACCATTTGTGACACTGATGAAGTACTTCCTCATTCTTTGCATGCTTGCTGGAGATTTTTATGGCCTTGGAAATTAGTTACATTTGCCTCCCCGCATAAACGGTACCTACATTTCCTATTTGACAGATGCAACTATCTTTCGGGCTGCAAAGGTTGACAGCAAACTACACAAAATTGGTTGGAAGCTCACTCCGACCCAGGCTGGTTTTGAACTTTCGGTCAGTAGTGATCTTAATGCAGCTGACTCCAAGCCAGCTGCGCCACAGTCCCAGTTACAACTATTTTGAGGATTCTTTAGACAGCAAACCAAAGTTAGAACCCTTCTTGCTAAAGGAAAGGTCTGTTGTGACTCAGCTGGAACCACAGAGTGCCTCTGATGAGGATGATGGGATTCAGGATCACAATCTGGTTCAAAATGTCCATGTTATAGTCAATGAGGAACAGGGGGTGGAAGTTCAGTTTCCCACAGCAAGAGATGAGTTTGTTGATACTGAAATTAGCCAGGTGCAGGTGCAAAGTGACTCAGAAAAGGAGGACAGGTCTCAGCCTGATAATGAGCAGGAAGGCATTCTGGATAACACTAACGAACAGACTGACCTTGACGAAATGGGAACCTTAGATTGAGCTGACCGTTTGGAATTCAGAGTTTGAAAGAGTGTGAGAATAGCTAACAAGAAGGAGGCCAGAGGTCAAAGAAACGCCTTCATGTTTTGCAAAGGGAGTTAAGCTGTGTGTTTCGGACCAAACCTTTGTCAGAGAAACTTTTTGTTTAACCAAGAAGCTTGCATTTTGCTTGTCTGGATTGTCTAGCAGTTCTTGAGTTCATGGTCTCAGGACTCAGTCATGTTCTCATGGGATTTTGCATTGCTGGTGTCTTTTTGGATTATGCTTCAAAGTGTTATTTTGTATTGATCTTTTGGAACATTACTTTTTGCTTTTAAGAACTTTTTATCTTTTACTTTTTAATAATCCATAAAGACTTCTGGCTGTGTGCAGTTTGGTGTTTTCAGCAAGGTGAACCTATTCTGAGGTGCGACAAGGACAGGGGCATGTGTTAAATATGCATTACATGTTTTTGTACCACCTTTCCTTTAAGACAGTGGTTCTCAACCTGTGCGTCCCCAGATGTTTTTGGTCTTCAACTCCCAGAAATCCTAACAGCTGGTAAACTGGCTGGGATTTCTGGGAGTTGTAGGCCAAAACACAAGGGGACCCACAGGTTGAGAACCACTGTCTTAAAGGAAAGGTGGTACAAAAAATATGTAATGCATATTTAACACATGCCCCTGTCCTTGTCGCACCTCAGAATAGGTTCACCTTGCTTTAAGAAGCCAAGGGAATTGTGCACAATCTTATCCCTTCCCTACCTGATCTTGACAACAATCTGACCAGGCTTAGAAACCCAGAGAATGCCATGGCTAAGCAGGGATTTGAATCTGGTCTCCACAATCCTAAACTGACACTGAATAACCCCTGCTAGACTCTGTCACTCTTCATTCTTAAAAGGATTAAATGGCTGTGCATGACCAGAAATTGCTTGCTGGAGAAAATGCACCCACCTATTCCTGAGGAGTCCACGTTCTCTGCATTGTGCACTGGAGTCTGGCTCAGGTTACGTCGATGACCTTGCCGAGAAGTAATGCCTTCAGGTCCCTCTTCAGGCACGTTTAGATTTGGGTTCGACTGAGTCAAAGGAGGACTCGAGGCCCTCGGGAATGGCCCTGAGCCATTGGGTTGCCGCCTTGAAAATAAGAAGCAGGAAGACAGTCATGAAGGAAGAGATGACAACTCTTTGCATGGCTCGGTTTGCACTCAAAATAAAACCAAAATTCAATGTCAAGGCATCTCTTAGTCTTACATTACTAAAAGCTGGATTTTGCTTCTCCCGATGATGGTGAAAATATTTCTAAGTTTCTTATAACTATCATGAGGACTAGACATCTTCATTTAAAGCTGAAATTCTGGGGATGTCGATCAAAACAAAACTTGGCACAATTCTGGTGACATCAATAGAACAATAGGACCTCAGGAAAGCAAGGAGATCAAGGGTAGCATGTGAGATTGTTTTCACACGGGCAGACCGCATGCATTGTAACCAAACATGGTTCATACCTGGGCAGGTGTGGGATCTCAAAGTGATGCAGTCTTGGGATATCCTCCGAAGCTCGGATCTCTTCCCGGGGTGAGGGCGTCAATGTGACTGTGGACTGCTGCCCATAGGAATTAGCAGGAGAGGAAGGATCACCTCGAGGAGGAGGCGGAGGACATGCTTCTTCCTGGATGTTCTCCATCAAGTAAGTCCTTTCTGGCAGAGGTGGACACCACTCCCCCACCTCGGAGCTGTAGAACGATTGAGACAATTTGACTGGGGCATATTTATTTATTTATCAGATTTATATACCGCCTTCCTCAGCCCGAAGGCGAATCAAGGTGATTTACAGATGGCAATCAATGCCCCCAATGACATAAAATATAATTCAAAATATTAACATATAATATAAGCCATATAAAAACAGTAGAAACAAGAAAAACACAAGTCATCAATAATCTACTGTTTTAGTGTGGTGACATGTGTTCCACACTGTACTATGCTAATAATGTAATATAATATATGTATATATATCTTGTAAGCTGCTCTGAGCCCACTTCAAGGTGAGAAGGGTGGCATATAAATGTTGTAAATAAATAAATACAATCTGAGGAGGTGACACCTATCCACTAATGATAGCCCCATGGATTTCATAAGGTCTTCCTAGACAAAGAATACTCAAGGCAGGCAAATACAGCTTTCTCAGAAATACAGCCTATAAAAAGTAAAGGTATTATTTTTTTTACAGTCTCCCATCCAAGTACTAACCAGGGCTGACCCTGCTTACTCTCCAAAATCAGACAGTATCTAGTGCTTTTGAGACAAGGCAGACCTAGTATTGAGTGTTGTAATCCTGACACAGGTGTTTCTCGTGACATCTTTTAAAAGTATGCATGTGTGCTGTTGAGCAAAACGTTGAAGTAAGGAGATTTGCGCTAAAAGATGTAGCAGCTTGTATAGGTGGACAGACTTTCCGTGAAAAATGCATCAATTGCCTATCCTAAGGCAACATTTCTAAGAACATCTGTCGACACAAGTTCTTTCAAATGTAGGACCCCCCTTCCAATTTACATGTTTTCTTACTAATGTTTTGAAAAGCAATTTGATCAGAATTGGAAACTGTATCATAGGAATTTTTTTATATCTCACTAAAAGCCATCCCACACAGCAAACACAAAATCACGTCTTATGGATTAGAAAAAAAATGCTGTTAGCAAAGCACAAACCTAGTGAGTGATCTATTTTGTATATGAGTCTGTTTCTCCGTATTGCTTGGTTTTGCCTGCATGCGCTACAAGAACACAATGTTGTTTCCATTGGTGCTGCTTTTTCCTATAGTCACAGATTTTGTCAAAATTTCTGGTATTTTAACTCAAATACTGCAGCATACTCTGCATGGGAAAAGGTCCATAGTGTGACACCATGAGATGCCACACCATTGCCTTTATGCACCCATCTCCAACTTGACTAACATTCTAGGGAATGTTATTTGCTGTCCTTCATTTAACTCTTACCTGACTTCTACTTCTTCCTCTTCCTCTCCCTCCTCTTCCTCCACATACTGGCTGAGCTCACTGGCAGATGGTGGTGGGGGAAGCACTTCCGTCCAGTTCAGGGATGGCGTTTTCACTGGTTTCCCCATTGATTTTTGCTTCATTGGTTTAGCAACTATGAAGACAGATGGAAGTCAAAGAAAGGCTCTCTCAAGCACAGTGAAAGCTCAGACTAGATTAGTGTTTCTCAACCTGGGGGTCGGGACCCCTTGGGGGGGGTCATGGGGGAGATGTCAGGGGGGTCACCAAAGACCATCAGAAAACACAGTATTTTCTGTTGGTCATGGGGGTTCTGTGTGGGAAGTTGGGCCCAAGTCTATCATTGGTGAGGTTCAGAGGGCTCTTTGATTGTAGGTGAACTATAAATCCCAGCAACTACAACTCACAAAGAGTATTATTATTATTATTATTATTAAACTTTATTTGTACCCCGCTAGCATCTCCTGAAGGATTTGATGCGGCTTACAAAGGCCAAGGCCTCAACACAACAACAATAATAAATGCAATAATAATAATAAATTAAAATAATACATGTAATAAAAATAATAATAACAGAGTAAAATATTAAATAACGTTGACCCAAGTATAAGCCGAGAGGAACTTTTTCAGCCTATAAAAATGGCTGAAAAATTAGGCTTATACTCGAGTGTATACAGTAATAACAACAACAACAATAACAAAGTAAAATAATAAATAATCTTGACTCGAGTATAAGCCAGGGGAGACTTTTTCAGCCTAAAAAAAGGACTGAAAAACTAGGCTTATACTCGAGTATATACAGTAATATACAGTAATAATTAAAATGAAGAACAATTTTAACAGATATAAACTTATTAGTATTTCAATGGGAAGTGTGGGCCTGCTTTTGGCTGATGAAATAGGATTGTTGTTGTTGTTGTTGCTGTGTGCTTTCAAGTTGTTTCAGACTTAAGTTGATCCTGAGCGCGCGCCGGGTAAATGACCTTGGAGGGCCGTATCCGGCCCCCAAGCCTTAGTTTGAGGACCCCTGATTTAGAGAGTCAATCCAGAACTTTCAGTATGTAATAATGATCCTTCAGTAAGATATATGTTTGCAATGCCTCACACATTCATCCCTGCCAATTCTGTGTGTCTTCCTACAATTTAATTCTAGATTTATTCCCTCGTGTTTTTCATAAGCAAGGTGTTTTCTGCTGAAAATTCCTACCAGGTTCGGCTCTGCTCCGTTCAGGCTGAGCATACTGGATGCTGGGGATCCCAGGCTGGGTGATCCACTGGCTCTCCTCTTCATCAGGTGAGTGGAGATGGGTAGCACCATATGGCATCACAGGTGTTGTGGCATACGGAGTGGTATGCTGGGAAAAGCCCCCATTAAACGTCCTCATGTCATCACTGGCAGGGTCAATTGTGCTGTAAATGGGGCCATCAGACACGCCTGTCCCAAATTTCTCTGTCTGAGCAATGTAATTAGAAATCCCAGCATCTGCAAACAAGGAGTCAATGTCATGATTGTGCTTTCCTAGGTCTTCTGCTTCAGCAGGAACAGATTTGTGTGCTTTGTCTTTAAGCACTTCCCACACTTGTGGGTTTCAAGAATTCCCTCTAATCCATTCTTGGAGAGAAGGAGGATTAGTCCCACCGCTTTCCTCTTTAAACTAGGGGAAGGTCATGACCTGGAAGCCTGCTTTGGTAGTCTCTACAGTTTCCTATTTTGTGTACACAAAAAGATTAAACCTCTTACTTGAACCTTTTCATCCCAAACTCTGTAATGCCCAAATGTCACATCTACAAACCAAACATATACGTCTTCTGCTCACCACTCCTAATGTGATGGAACCTTACCATTGTAGTATCTTTCGGTAGCATTGTGGTTTCCTGGGCAGCAGGTCACTCCAGGCTCCTTTGTTTTCCCATTTCTCAGCAGGTTCGGGCCTGGCCATGATTCCGCCAGCCATGGATAGCTGGAGGCACTAGTGGCCATGGCGAGCATGCCAGGCCGGCTGGAGGAGAGACACAAAGTCAAGATTATATCTTTTCTGGTCTGTCATCTGTTTTTACCTACATCTGCTCTGACCTACAAGAAGCACTGCCTGAACATCAAGCAAAAAGTGGTTGCTAGAAACAATATCATACGAAAGCTGACTGGCACAACCTGGGGATCACAATCAGACACAGTGAAGACATCTGCCCTTGCTCTCTGCTACTCTGTTGCTGAATACGCTTGCTCAGTGTGGAACACATCTCACCACACTAAAACAGTAGCTGTGACTCTTAATGAGACATGCCGCATTATCACGGGGTGTCTGCGCCCTACACCACTGGAGAAATTACACTGCTTAGCCGGTACTGCACCACCTGACATCCGCTGGGAAGTAGCAGCCAGTAGTGAAAGGACCAAGGCAGAGACATCTCCAGCTCATTCCCTTTTCCTCTCTCCCTCTTTTCCTCCTTCCGTTGCACTCACCTGCCACTGCTCCGTGATGCCCCATCCATGTGGGGGAAAGACACTGAAAGAAAAGATCCACATCAAGTCAGTGACACTTTCTTAAACCAGATTGGTTTGGCTAAGAGTACAGAGGGAAAAGCAATATAATGGAATTGGAAACAAGAAGACTTACCTGCTGGTGTATATGCAAAGGAAGCTGTGAAGGAAAACAAGCAAAAGAGTGAGGCAGCTCATAATAAGTCATGCCTGTGATCAGTAGCAGTGGGGGAGGCCCTAAGACAGGTTAGGGGAGTGCAAAGGAGAACATGCATGGCATGCAAAAGGCCACACATTCACAACCATATCACCTCTAGTTGGAGAGAGGGCAAATGATGGGACTCTGGAAAACCATTCCCAATCAGATTATATGATACACTGCTACAAGGACAAACTCAGTGTCAGAACTGCTGAGCAGCAGCCTAGGTTTAAATTCTGGTGAAAAAAATGGCTGACAATGTTCATTTGGGTCAGTAGCAATGGAAGAGTTAGACATCAGGTCTATGGGATTTGGACTATTGAAGCAAGAACCCTTGATCTGAGATCTCTGGTGTCTGGTCCTCAAATCCCTGCACTTCACGGGGAACTAAATTTTCATGTCAAGGGCCCAACGCTAAGATCACTACTGACCAAAAGGTCATGAATTTGAAGCCAGCCTGGGTCGGAGTAAGCTTCCGACCAATTTTGTGTAGCTTGCTGTCGACTTTTGCAGCCCGAAAGACAGTTGCATCTGTCAAGTAAGAAATTTAGGTACCACTTATGTAGGAAGGCTAATTAAACTAATTTACGAGGCCATAAAAATCTCCAGCAAGCATGCAAAGAATGAGGAAGTACTTCATCAGTGTCAGAAACGGTTGGTGATGGGACAGCTCCCCTGGTGGACAGAATACCCTCAAGAAAAGCTGGAATGTTAAATTGCCTCTGTGTTCTGTCTAAATATGTTGTGTGTCTATGGCACTGAATGTTTGACATGTATATGTACGTTGTAATCCACGCTGAGTCCCCTGTGGGTGAGAAGGGTGGAATATAAATACTGTAATAAATAATAAATAAAAATAAAATACAAGGTTTCAGACTGAAGATCTGCCCTTTTAAGGTCCTACACTCCTCAAGGAATGGGTAAAATATGGGATTAGTGATTTGTCTCTCAAGAGATAAAAGCTTTCAGTTACACTTTCACTATCTTTGGACAGTCAGCTCGCCATGGTACTGCCTTCTTCTAAGGCGCTCACTGGACTTGGGAACATGGCTTGGCACTTAGGCAACCAAGCAACACTTTCCTTCCTGATTGGAGGCAGTATGAAGTCTTGTCTCACCTGTGTAGTGACTTAGTTCCTTCCTCTTTTTCCGACGACAGTAGATCCAGACACTGAAGCACATGAGGATGACCCAGCAGGCTCCGCCAATGCCAGCAATAAAGGCTGGCTGTTTCACCACGTCCGTGATCTGTTCAGCGAGGCTCACACTGTCCCCACTGCTCACAGACACACTGTCCTGGTCTGGCAAAGGCTCTGTGTCATGCAGGGGAGGCAGAAGTATCCAGTCAGAGGAGATATATATTACAAGAGATGTTAATTGTTATCAAGATGAGAAAAGAGATGGAAACAAACAAGTTCAAGTATCTCCCTGCCCCAAGTTCCAAATCCTAAAGCAAAACAAATTTCCCTGACAGCTAGTAGAAGGAACTCTAGTACCCAACTTGCCATTTTCCTGCAGATTTTATGGAGAACTATCACATCAACAATCTGACTTGGTTTGATTACTTTGTTGGATTACACTGTTGTGAGCCACCCCTTGGGTAGATGGGGCGGGGTATAAATAAGGTTGTTTATTTTTTATTATTATTATTATTATTATTATTATTATTATTATTATTTAACTACTGGGACTGTGCATTGGGACTGTGGCGCAGCTGGCTGAGTGTCAGCTGCATTAAGATCACTTCTGACCAAAAGGTCATGAGTTCGAAGCCAGCCCAGGTTGGAGTGAGCTTCTGACCCATTGTGTAGCTTGTTGTCGACCTTTGCAGCCTGAAAGACAGTTGCATCTGTGAAGTAGGAAAATTAGGTACCACCTATGCGTGGGGAGGCTAATTTAACTAATTTATGAGGCCATAAAAAAGACTCCAGCAAAGCATGTGGGGAATGCGGAAGTATATCATCAGTGTCGCAGATGGACGATGAAAGCCACAGCTCCCCTGGCGGCCAGAAAAAGTTAAATAGGCTCTGACTGTTTGTCTATATCTGTTGTGTGTCTTTGAATGCTTGCCATATATGTGTACACTGTAATCCGCCCTGAGTCCCCTGCAGGGTGAGATGGGCGGAATATAAATACTGTAAATAAATAAAATAAATTAACTAGAGCTGATGAAACTGAGTACCACATTTCAAATCTGAGTTTTAAACTAGCTTATGCCAATGGTTTTGGTTCCCAAATCCTTGCTGCCTTTGGCCATGCCGATCCCTGAAATGTAGCTCCTGAGAGCCTCTCTAAAATGAAATGCGCATATCAATCAGAGAGATGCTCCACAATCAAGCCTGACAATAAACTATGGTTCAAAAAGTAATACCCTCCCCTCTCCCACTGACACTGACATTTTCTGTGTGTGTTAGGAGAGACTTGAGAAACTGCAGGTCACTTCTGGTGTGAGAGTTATGGCCGTCTGCAAGGATGTTGCCCAAGGGACGCCTGGATGTCTTATCATCCTGTGGGAAGCTCCTCTCATGTCTCCACAAGGGAAGCTGGAGCTGACAGATGGGAGCTCACCCTGCTCCCCAGATTTGTACCTCTGAACTTTTGGTCAGCAGTCCTGCCGGCACATGGGTTTAACCTATTGCATCTTTGGGGGCTCCTAGACTGACAGGCGAGAAAGATTAGTTTGATTGGCACATGTTACTGTTTGAAAAAGCTTTGGATACTCACTGATTTGTATGGTCACTGGGGCACTCCTCACTCCCACGCCTGCCCTGGTGGCTGCTGCAACCTCGGTGCGGTAGACCATGCCTGGCACCAGGCCCAGCAAGACTGTCGAGTGCACTGTACCATCCACTGTCTTATTGATGTGATAACGAGACTCATTGCCAAGACACCAAATCTAACAAGAGAGCAGACGATTGGAAATATTCAATGCCAGTACAAAAAAGAAATTGCCTGCCCCTGGTTTCAGAGCACACATGGCAGCTCCTGCCGTTGTCAGACCCCTGAGCATTTTGGACCAGCTTTTGAGACTTCAAAAGTCCAAGAACTTACCTGGTAATCCTGGATGATCCCATTTTGCTCTGTAGGTGGAGGTGGCTCCCAGGATATGCTAATACTGGTACTGTTGCTGGTCCCCAACATGACCACCGTAACTGCTTGAGGAGGAGCACTGGGAACTAGTAAAAAGAAGAAATAAAAGAAGTGTATTTGCTCAGAGCTCTCTCTCACAAAGGCAAAGACTCTGCAGTATCTGGTGCTTAGTATTCTCAGATTTGGAGTAACTCTGAAGTTGTGCTGGGAATACAAAAGTTAGCCTCCTTCTACAGCAGTGTTTCTCAACCTGGGGGTCGGGACCCCTGGGGGGGAGTCACGAGGGAGGTGTCAGAGGGGTCACCAAAGACCATCAGAAAACACAGTATTTTCTGTTGGTCATGGGGGTTCTGTGTGGGAAGTTTGGCCCAATTCTATCATGGGTGGGGTTAAGAATGCTCTTTAATTGAGGTGAATTATAAATCCCAGCAACGACAACTCCCAAATACCAAGGTCTATTTCCCCAAACTCACCAGTGTTCACATTTGGGCATATTGAGTATTTGTGCCAAGTTTGGTCCAGATCCATCATTGTTTGAGTCCACAATCCTCTCTGGATGTAGGTGCACTACAACTCCAAAACTCAAGGTCAATGTCCACCAAACCCTTCCAGTGTTTTTTTTTGTTTGTCATGGGAGTTCTGTGTGCCAAGTTTGGGTCAATTCTATCATTGGTGGAGTTCAGAATGCTCTTTAATTGAGGTGAGCTATAAATCCCAGCAATGACAACTCCCAAATGTCAAGGTCTATTTCCCCAAACTCCACCAGTGTTCATATTTGGACATATTGAGTATTCGTGCCAAGGTTGGTCCAGATCCATCATTGTTTGAGTCCACAGGGCTCTCTGGATGTAGGTGAACTACAACTCCAAAACTCAAGTTCAATGTCCACCAAACCCTTCCAGTGTTTTTTTGTTGATCATAGGAGTTCTGTGTGCCAAGTTTGAGTCAATTCTATCATTGGTGGAGTTCAGAATGCGCTTTAATTGAGGTGAACTATAAATCTCAGCAATGTCAAGGTCTATTTCCCGCAAACTCAACCAGTGTTCACATTTGGGCATATTGAGTATTTGTGCCAAGTTTGGTCCAGATCCATCATTGTTTGAGTCCACAATGCTCTCTGGATGTAGGTGAACTACAACTCCAAAACTCAAGGTCAATGTCCATCAAACCCTTCCAGTGTTTTTTGTTGGTCATGGGAGTTCTGTGTGCCAAGTTTGGTCCAATTCTATCATTGGTGGAGTTCAGAATGCTCTTTGATTGTAGGCTAACTACACATTCCAACAACTACAACTCCCAAATGACAGATTCAATTCCCCCCCAACCCCACCAGTATTCAAATAGGGGTGTATTGGGTATTCGTGCCAAATTTGGTCCAGTGAATGAAAATCCATCCTGCATATCAGATATTTACATGACTATCATAACAGTAGCAAAATTCAAGTTATGAAGTAGCAACGAAAACAATTTTATGGTTGGGGGTCACCGGAACATGGGGAACTGTATTAAGGGGTCATGACAGGAGGAAGGTTGAGAAACACTGTATCATTTCTCCTGATAATTGGCCTTAGGAATATACTACACCAAGAGTGACACCTGTGAGGTCATCTGGGCTGTAAATCCCATGATCTCTTGCCATTGGCTACATTGCATTGGACCGATTAGAATTGCAGTCCAGATTGTCTATTAACTGAAGATTGCATTCTTCATTGTGCTCTTGAACTTTCCTTGCAGGACTAGGTTAGCCAACATGGAGTACGGCTGAAAACAGATGACAACCACAAATTTCAAAAGAAAAAACAAAACAAAGCGGAGGTGATGAGATACAGACAGAAGCAGGGTGAATGTGTATGAATCACATCCTGAGATAATCTCACACTTACCTTCTTCTGGGGTACGCACCAGCAGCACTTCACTGTCCATGCCCTGGAACTCATCAAAATATGGTCGAATTTTGATTTCATACTCCTGGCCTTTGCTTAGGTCAACTAGAATAGTGCTACGTTCAGTAGGAGATTTGACATCCTGCACCAACCAGGCACTGCCCCTTGTTCGGTACATTACTCGATAGCCTTGGATGAACTGAGCTTGGCGATCAACCTGAGCAAGAAAAGACATATTTATTTATTTATTTATTTATTTACTTTGCTTATATACCGCTGTATCTCAAGCCCGAAGGCGACTCACAGCAGTTCACAAACAGTAAAAACAGTAGAAACAGCAGTGGTTCTTAGGCATGATCTCCACAGCTTGGAACAACTGCCTGTCTGTCTGACTCCTAATGCCTTTCTCTGCTTCTCTTGCTTCTGATTCTGCTCTTTCCCTGTATTCCCTTGACTGCATCCTTTTATTGCCTTTCTTCATCTCCATCCCATTAATGAACCACATCTATCTATGGCAGTGTTTCTCAACCTGGCAGTCGGGACCCCTGGAAGGGTCACGAGGGAGTGTTGAGGGTTCACCAAAGACCATCAGAAAACACAGTATTTTCTGTTGATCATGGGGGTTCTGTGTGGGAAGTTTGGCCCAATTCTAACGTTGGTGAGGTTCAGAGTATTCTTTGATTTATGTGAACTATAAATCCCAGCAACTACAGTTGCCAAATGTCAAGGTCTATTTTTCCCAAACACCACTAATGTTCACATTTGGGCATATTGAGGATTCGTGCCAAATGTGGTCCAGATCCATCATTATTTGAGTTCACAGTGCTCTGTGGATGTAGGTGAACTACAACTCCCAAACTCAAAGTTGATGCTCACCAAACCCTTCCGATATTTTCTGTTGGTCATGGGAGTTCTGTGTGCCAAGATTGGTTCAATTCCATTGTTGGTGGCATTCAGATGCTCTTTGATTGTAGGTAAACTATAAATTCCAGCAACTACAACTCCCAAATGACAAAATCAATCCTCCCCGCAACCCCATCAGTATTCAAATTTGGGTGTATCGAGTATTTGTGTCAAATTTGGTCCAGTGTATGAAAATACATCCTTCATATCAGATATTTATGTTGCAATTCATAACAGTAGAAAAATTACAGTTATGCAGTAGCAACAAAAATAATTTTATGGTTGGGGGTCACCACAACATCAGGAACCGTATTAAGGGTTCACGGCATTAGGAAGTTTGAGAAACACTGATCTATAGCATCTATTGCGTTCTTGTTTTTTGGGAGCCAATTACTTTTTGGACTAGAAATCCCAGAGAGCTGTCAAAGATACTGATAACGAGCCCTTCTATAGTGCAAGAATATCAATCTGACTGAGGCTTAAACTGATTCACACTACATCCTGTTCTCCAGATATTACTGTCAGTGTTCCTGTTGATACTCACAGTCCAGGTCACTTGGATGGTGGTGGAAGTGAGGACGATGGGATCCTGGAGCTGAACCACAACTTCACCAAGTTCCCTTTGCACTTGCCGATGATCGACGCCTTGCCTAGTAGGACTCACATCTGTTGAAAGCATGAAACGTGAGGGAGGAAAAGAATGACATTCTTACGTTGGAGGACCAAAGTTCATCCTTGACTTCATAAGCATGCTACTAAATGCTCCTTTTAACCTATTCCCACTGGGGTTTTTAATTCAGTAGTTGCACTGAAATTGCTTGCAAAGTGTATGTGATTTGTAAGCCACCGTTTGGACAATATTGCTGCATGACGGTCTGCAGAATCATAACGCTATAAAGTTGGAAGGGATCTCAACTAATGCAGGAAGGAGAATCTGTGCATTCTCTACAAACATACAGAATCTATGTGCTCACAGACATTCATCCATATGATAAATCACAAAGGTCACACACACAGAGAGATTTAATAGATTGGCATATATCTTAACTCACAAGTTGACTCACTCATCCTCATTTAGGTCTCCCTGCAAATACTTCCAAGGAGCAAGCCATACATAACAATAACAATAATAATAATAATAATAATAATAATAATAATAATAATAATCTTTATTTATACCCCGCCACCATCTCCCCCAACGGGGACTCGAAGCGGCTTAAATGGGGCCAAGCCCGAACAACAAATTACAATACAAAATACAAACTGCAATAAAATAAACAAAATAACAATAAAATATAAAATATCAAACATATAAACAATATACACATTACATGCTAGTGGTCAGGCTGTCCCTGGAAACCAGGGAGTTACAATCCCCAAAGGTATATTCTCAAGCTCTGGGCCTAATAATAATAATAATAATAATAATAATAATAATAATAATAATGTAGACTCTGCAAGCAAGCAGATGAAATGATAGATCACATCCTCTGCTCCTGCAAGAAGATCTCGCAGACAGACTACAAGCAGAGGCACAACACCATTGCTCAGATGATTCATTGGAACTTGTACCACAAATACCATCTGCCTCCGACAAAGTACTGGTGGGATCACAAGCCGGAAAGAGTTACAGAAAATGAACACGTCAAACTCCTCTGGAACTTCTGAATTCAAACAGACAGAGTTTTGGAGCACAATACTCCTGACCTCACGATAGTGTTAAAAAACAAAGTATGGATTGTCACAATCCCAGGTGACAGCAGCATTGAAGAGAAACAATTGGAAAAGATGACATGATATGAGGATTTAAAAATCGAACTGCAGAGACTGGCACAAGCCAGTCAAGATGGTCCCAGTGGTGATCGGCACACTGGATGCAGTGTCTAATGATCTTGGCCTGCACTTAAAAACAATCAGTGCTGACAAAAATACCATCTGCCAGCTGCAGAAGGCCACTTTACTGGGATCTGCACATATTATTTGCTGATACATCACACAGTCCTAGACACTTGGGAAGTGTCCGACGTGTGATCCAATACAACAACCAGCAGAGTGTCTGCTGTGGACTCATCTTGTTGTGTTTCAAATAAATAATAATAATAATAATAATAATAATAATAATAATAATAATAATAGCTTTTATCCTGCTTTTCTCCCACGGATGGGACTTAACAAAGTGGGGAAAAAAATCAAAGAACAAAATTACATAGTACAAATATCCATCATCACCCAACCTGACATATAAAAAAACAATCCACACATTGTATGACCCATACATTACATAAACAAATAGCATAAGAAATAAACATACATATTATTATCAATTAAAATCTCTGTGTTTCAGACCACTGTGGTTAACCTAAAACATTAAACTAAGAGACTCAAGAGTTCAAAGTCTTTGGCCATATAGGCATTATCTGACCGAGATAAGCTGCTATCATGGGTTGTTGTAGAAGAAGGCCTGCTTCCATAAAAAGGTTTTCACTTGGGAGCAAAAGGCCAATAGCGAAGGGGCTGAGTGCACCTCTTTGGGAAAGGAGTTCCAGGGCCATGGGGCCACCACCGAAAAGGCCCTTTCTCTTATTCTCACCAACTGCACTTGTGACAGTGGTGGGACCGAGAGGAGGCCCTCTCCTGATGAGGCCTTCCACTCTTGGGAGCTCCTTTTAACTTATTAGATCAAACCACTGCACTCCAACCCACCAGCATGTGGAAATCTCACCTTGTGTCCGAACTGGCTCCGAAACAGGGCTGGGATCACTAAGGCCATAGGTGTTGACAGCCCGTATAAGGAAGAGATATATGGTGTTGGGGTTCAAGCCACTGACTGTGTGTTTCTCCAACTTCACATTGTCGGCCACTGTCTGCCAGGTACTGCCTGAAGATTGGCTGCAACAGACCAGAAAAGGAAAAGAGGGAGCTTTGAGAGACTGCAAGATGCGGTAGCGAGGAGTTCCAGAGGAATTGCACAGTATAGGATGGCCCCTTCATGAGTTAAACACAGAAGCAACTGAAAACACTCTGGCTTGACCTGCAATATGGATTGACTTATAAGCAGAAAGTATATAGTACTTGAAGGCAAGGTTGTTAATACCATTTCACACTGGACATCTACATGGTTTCATACATCCAGAAAGGGTTTAGCAAACAATTATTAGGCTGTCAAGTTATTATAGAAGGGTTGGAGAGCCCCCTGCCATTGTAAATGCCTTGTAATGCTTCAGAGGCCTCAATAGCCAGTGTGTCAGTACCAGTAAAAAAGATTGGTAGCCGTACCTTTAAGGTAGGGTGAGTGGCCCATCTCAGATTCTAGGTACCCTCAAAGCATATCAGTTTCCTAATTGTTTCATTGTGATTGTTGGTGCAATGGGTTAAACCCTTGTGCTGGTAGGGATACAGACTGAAAGGTCAGTTTTTCAAATCTGGGGAGTGGCTAAGCTCCCGTCTGTCAGCACCAGCTTCTCATGAGAGAAGATTCCCACAGGATGGTAAAACACAGCTTGTTTTCTGCTGTCCTGGAGACCAGGATGCGGAATAATGGCTTCAAACTACAAGAAAGGAGATTCCATCTGAACATTAGGAAGAACTTCCTGACTGTGAGCACTGTTCAGCAGTGGAACTCTCTGCCCTGGAGTGTGGTGGAGGCTCCTTCTTTGGAAGCTTTTAAACAGAGGCTGGATGGCCATCTGTCGGGGGTGCTTTGAATGCAATTTTTCTGCTTCTTGGCAGGGAGTTGGACTGGCTGGCCCATGAGGTCTCTTCCAACTCTATGGTTCTAAACAGGCAACTCCTGGGCAACGTCCTTGCAGATGGCCAATTCTCTCACACCGGAAGCGACCTGCAATTTCTCAAGTCACTCCTGACACAAAAAAATGTGATTGTTCCATTTCTATTGTCTGAAATGAAGAGAGACATTTTCTGCCTCATATACTGAAATAACCCTGGTTGGTTTTGGGTACCATACAACTTGCCTTGGGCAAGCCAGGAGTGCCATAAATACCTCAGTCTCAGGCAGCAAACCAATTTGGGCCAATCCTCTCATTAGGGCATCCACACTACATACCACTATGCTATTTTTGGGGGGAGGAGGAGGGTTCAAACTTGGAAAATAATTTCTGAGTATGTGCATGGTCGTATTTCCTTGTCACCAAGTAAAACAGCCGTGAAAGGCACAGTGAGTATAAGGAAGATATAGACAATAGCTATGGCTTCTAAACTAATACAGTGTTTCTCAACCTGGGAGTCATGAATCCTGAGGGGGTTGCGAGGGGGTTTCAGATGGGTCGCCAAAGACCATCAGAAAACACAGTATTTTCTGTTGGTCATAGGGGTGCTGTATGGGAAGTTTGGCCCAATTCAATCATTTGTGAGGTTCAGAATGTTCTTTGATTGTAGGCGAACTATAAGTCCCAGCAACTACAATTCCCAGATGTCAAGGTTGATTTTCCTGAAACATCATCTGTGTTCACATTTGGGCATATTGAGTATTCATGCCAAGTTTGGTCCAGATCCATCATTGTTTGAGTCCACAGTGCTCTATGGATGTGGTGAACTACAACTCCCAAACTTAAGGTCAATTTATTTATTTACTTATTTATTTACTTTATTTCTATACCGCTTTTCTCAGCCCTTAGGCAACTCAAAGCGGTTTACATAGTACAAATTATCACAAGACAGTATCATAGGCAAATTAAAACACATTATACATTATACATAACAGTCAATATCAATAAACAATCATTATCATAGCGCCTCAACAACAAATCAGAACCCATTCTCGTAATCCTTTGTTCCATATTCCTATGTTTGATTGCACCGTGTTCCTATATTCAATTGCACTGTTTAGCCAAACGCTTGTTCGAAAAGCCAGGTCTTCACCTTCCTCCGAAACGCCAACAGCGAAGGGGCCTGTCTGATGTCTGCAGGTAGGGGCCACCAGTGAGAAGGCCCTGTCTCTCGTCCCCGCCAGGTGCGCCTGTGATGCAGGCGGGACTGAGAGCAGGGCCTCCCCAGACGATCTTAATGTCCTGGTCGGTTCATAGGTGGAGATGCGTTCAAAGAGGTAAGTAGGGCCGGAACCGTTTAGGGCTTTATAGGCTAATGCCAGCACGTTGAATTGTGCCCGATAGCAAATTGGCAGCCGGTGGAGCTGGCGCAACAGAGGAATGGTATGCTCCCTGAGTGCCGCTCCTGTTAATGCCCACAAACCCTTCCAGTATTTTCTGTTAGTCATGGGAGTTCTGTGTCCCAAGTTTGGTTCAATTCCATCGTTGGTGGAGTTCACAATACTCTTTGATTGTAGGTGAACTATAAATCCCAACAACTATAACTCCCAAATGACAAAATCAATCTCCCTAACCCCACTAGTATTCAGATTTGGGCATATCGAGTATTTGTGTCAAATTTGGTCCAGTGAATACATCCTATACATCCTGCATATCAGATATTTACATCATAACAGTAGCAAAGTTGCAGTTACGAAGTAACAACGAAAATAATTTTATGGTTGAGGGTCACCACAACATGAGTAACTGTATTAAGGGGTTGTGACATTAAGAAGCTTGAGAACCACTGCTCTAACAAACCCTGGCTTCTCTGAATTCTAAGAAGAGCAGAGGATATAAGACATGTTGTTGGTGCTACTCCCCAGAGTGTTTGAAACTCAGAATTCAAGGCAGTCCAAATGAAGGCATCTGGATCAACTTCGGATGTAAACAGGAAACTGAGCCTTAGGCATATCTATTCATTCTGAAATAATAATGCCCTCTTGAAGCTCTTGCTGCTCCTTCTGGAATGTATACTTCCCTGTGATTCTCAACCGGGGAGGAAAGAAGCAAGCTATTCTTCATTGCGGAGTTGTAGTCAGCAAGGGGCTGAGCCAAGATTTAAAATCACATTACAACTTACAGATGGGGATGGGGACCTCCAAATATTTTGAACAAAAATACAAAAGGGTCACACAAGACCTTCTAAAATCAAAGAACAGTGTCAATTAGTAAACCTTCAGAGGAACAATGCTATTCTCCTCTCTGCAACTATCTAAAGGCTAATAATAAGTGATCTGACATAATGTTTCAGGAAGGGAGCACTACTGGGATTCTGCAACACAGAAGGTCCTATCTGGCTCCCCACCAACCTCTCTGCGGCAGGCTTCAGATGAAACACATTGGCTGAGATCCTATATCCTGTTGGCAGAGAGTAAAGGCTCACCAGGTATAGCTCCATTTTATCTTTCCTCCCTGCAATATTTACTTCCATTTTCTGCAGCCTAGTCATCCTGTGTGACCCTTTACTGGCCAGGAGAGAGTGATGCAGCAGGGAGCCAGGCAATGTTCACATTTGCTTCTAAATCAGGCTCATGAAGACCTACCCAAAAGCCTTTAAAGTCACTCCCAAGAGATCCTGGAGGGTACATCCTTCTCCCTACATCCAGCTGCAGGAACACAGCCAGATGTTGCCTGACCCGTATTTTCCCATGGCCACTTAGAGGCCATTGGAAGTGGACAACACTGCTGCACAAAGTTCAGTGCAGAGCATGGAAGGCCACTGCAGATGGAAGTGCTGAATCCCTCCAAACATACACATAAGGCAGTGGTTCTCAACCTATGGGTCCCCAGGTGTTTTAGCCTTCAACTCACATAAATCCTTACAGCTGGTAAACTGGCTGGGATTTCGTGGATCTGTAGGCCAAAACTCTTGGGGACCCACAGGTAGAGAACCACTGACATAAGGGAACATTCTAATTTTTTGTTTGGAGGGATTCAGCATTTTATTATTATGATTATGATAATGATAATGATTATGATGATGATTATTATTATTATTTCGAGTACTTCTACCCCGCCCTTCTCAACCCCCTAGGGGGGACTCAGGGCAGCTTACAACCGGCACAATTCGATGCCAACAATTCAACAAGTAAAATACATAGCAGCAATAATCACAAGTAGTTAAAACAATCAATTAATACAATAACAACTAAAAGAAAATCCAATCTAGTGGCTAACATTCACCGAGTCCTAAAAATCTGTAAGTCCATTCAGCATTATCACTTCATCTGCAGTGGTCTTCCATTCTCTTACATGCCAGCCATTAAGTTCTGTGGAGGTTCATATAAGAACCTCATCTATCTATCTATCTATCTATCTATCTATCTATCTATCTATCTATCTATCTATCTATCCATCCACCCACCTATCTATTGTATTTGCATACCACCTTTCTCAGCCTGTAGGCAACTCAAGGCGGTTGGCAGGGCAAAATTCAATGCTTATAATGTCATAAATACAGTTAAAAACATGACATATAATAACAACTAAACAAATCAATAACATATAAATTCATAGTGTCTCCTTGTTAAAAACGTTGTCCGGACTCATTATCTAGTCGTTYCATTTTCCTGTGTCAGTTACTCTGCATTTGCAAATGCTTGTTCTAAAAACCACGTCTTGACTTTTTTCCAGAATGTTAAAAGGGAGGTGGCCAATCTAATATCTATGGGGGGGGGGGCGTTTGGTACTTGTGACGAAGACGATCTTAAGGTCCTAGATGGTTTATAAGGGGAGATGTGTTCGGAAGTGTAACTTGGGCCAGAACCGGTTAGGGCTTTATAGGCTAAAGCCAGCACTTTGAATTGTGCTTGGTAGCAAACTGGCAGCCAGTCGAGCTGGTGCAACAGAGAAGTTGTATGCTCCCTGAGCGTCACTCCTGTTAGTAATCTGGCAGCCGTTCGTTGGACTATTTGAAGCTTCTGGACAGTCTATAAAGGCAACCCCATGTAGAGCATGTTGCAGTAGTCTATACGAGATGGCGTGGACTACTGTAGCCAAGTCAGACTTCCCAAGGTACAGATGCAGCTGCCGCACAAGTTATAACTGTGCAAATTCTCCCCT